GGCCTTATTTTCGGAGGATGTCTTATTTTCGGGGAAACAGGGTAGCTACTACTGAAGCTCAAATAACTTCAAATATGCACACAAAAGTATATATCTATTGGCTTTTTATTTAAAAGTGGATGTAGTTTAAGTTTGCCTTCAACAGCTTTAATTCAGGTAAATAGCATACACTCATTTTCCTCTTCCCAAACCATTCAACTCTACAGATGTATATTACTGGTAGAATCAATTCAGCAAAGTTCAGTCAACTATTCCCAGACCTGCTGCTAAATATTAGGCAAACCATTTAATCTCCCCAAGTACTTATCTGTGAGCAACTTCTAATTTCAGGCTTTGAAGTTCTTATCTGTTATTTGCTCCTTGTGCAAGAATTGTTTCTTGAACTATGTTTCAGTGATGACCTAGAGCATACCCATTAAACACTACTTGTCCGAATGCAAGATTAAATTTGAATTGCAACTCCATTTGTGAACATATTTTGGAGGCCACCTAACAATCACAGGAAATGTCCATTTGTACTTGGACAGAGATAAAAATGGCCAAAATGTTGCAGGTCCTTAGAAATATTAGAAGTGACTGGACACCACATAAGAGGAAACACGTTTTAAATGTTTTGCTACAGAAATAGCTGGCAAATCTCTATCCATGCTGGAAAGTTATCAAACTCTAATCTTGTCTTTTTCTCCTTAAACATTACTACTATGAATCAAGCAACAAAAACCCAAGTCAATTTCTTAAGAAATTTTCCAACTAGTTAAACATTTTAAAGGACTGATATTTTGTTCCGTTTGGGTATCAATTCCAAGTATTTTTAAGACAGACAATCTCTTCCTCAAACTTTAGGATATTTCTAAAAATGATAATTTAATGCATATCTTTTGATATCCTGAATTTGCTGGTGATACAATACAAGTACACAAACTGCTTGGAGGTGGGGGGGGGGGGGGAAGAGGGGGAAGGAGGTAAAATCTTACCTGTAGGAACAAATAAGGTATGTCCTTGTTTCACAACACATTTATAACATTTGTCTACCTTATCCCCAAAATACACTTCACTCTGGGTGACAGAGGAACTCCAAGATTCATAGAGAGCCAGATTTTCATCAGTAGGTTTGATCAAGTAGAAGATCTTCTCACCCTGTACACAAAAAAATATCCCATATGAGGTATGGTACAATTTTGGAATAGTTTACATAAACAGTATTATTGTCAGGCAAGCCCTGTAATCTAATAGTAATATCCTGTACTTCCATGTGAGTGCCCTAGGTTTTCCAACCCTCTGTCACTCTTTGGTCTACCAGAAGCTAACTGTGTAGTACATTCCACCCTTTGGGGTTTTGGGACAAGGAAAGTGCCACATTAAGGAACAATTTATTAGTTCTGGTGGAAGTTGTGTCCAGTCATCCTCAGGTACATGGCTGCTGCAATTCAGAAAGCAGTGTGAGCTAATGTTTGAGAAAAGTTCGGTTTGTCATTTCATTCATTTTCTCCTACAAAATGCTCAGGATAGCATCCACCTATCTGCTAGAAAGCGCAGAGATTGGCATTTTCATCTAGGGGGTCAACTTGTACAGAGGACTGAACAACAGTGCACAGTCAGTAATCCTCCTCTGCCTCCTTCTCAAACTAACAATTTCATTCAAAATAAATGAGGAAATCCCTGAACACGGGTTTCTTTTGTGGCAAGAAGATGTACACAGGACAAAATCATTTTCAAGCATTCAGGAAGCAAGGACCTTCTTACCCACAGAACATGGTACCAGACTGACGTGCCCCCAAAATCAATATGAAAATCAGTGTAGCTGTCCTGAACTCCCATCAAGCAATATTTCTGAACAAAAGGCTTGGGGAAGACGGAGTCATCTGGCCAGTAGTTTTCCACCCATGAAAGCTTTGTGGCAATGTCAGGGACTTCCACCAATTCAGACATCCTTAAAAAGTAAGTAAATGATGGGTAAGTGCAAGTAATGATGAGAGACATCTTTAAATGTTTACCTTTCCTAAGTCTCTCAAACTGTAAAAATGTTTACTTCTATATGGATTCCATACTGTCCCCAAATCGCAGCACAAAATAGTCTACTCATAGACTTTAAGGTCAGATGGGACCATTATGATCATCTAGTCTGACCTCCTGCACAACTCAGGCCACAGAATCTCACCCACCCACTCCTGTAACAAACCCCTAACCTATGTCTGAGTTATTGAAGTCCTCAAATCGTGGTTTAAAGACCTCAAGGTGCAGAGAATCCTACAGCAAGTGACCCATGCCCCACGCTGCAGAGGAAGGCAAAAAACCTCCAGGGCCTCTGCCAATCTGCCCTGGAGGAAAATGCCTTCCCGACCCCAAATATGGCAATCAGTTAAACCCTGAGCATGTGGGCAAGACTCACCAGCCAGCACCCAGGAAAGAATTCTCTGTAGTAACTCAGATCCCACCCCATCTAACATCCCATCACAGACTATTGGGCATATTTACCTGCTAATAATCAAAGATCAATTAATTGCCAAAATTAGACTATCCCATCATACCATCCCCTCCATAAACTTATCAAGCTTAGTCTTTCCCCCCCCCCCACTACTCCCCTTGGAAGGCTGTTCCAGAACTTCACTCCTCTAATGGTTAGAAACCTTCATCTAATTTCAAGTCTAAACTTTCTGATGGCCAGTTTATAGCCATTTGTTCTTGTGTCCACATTGGTACTAAGCTTAAATAATTCCTCTCCCTCCCTGATATTTATCCCTCTGATTTATTTATAAAGAGTAATCATATCTCCCCTCAGCCTTCTTTTGATTAGGCTAAACAAGCCAAACTCTTTGAGTCTCCTTTCATAAGGCAGGTTTTCGATTCCTCGGAACATCCTACTAGCCCTTCTCTGTACCTGTTCCAGTTTGAATTCATCCTTTTTAAACATGGGAGACCAGAACTGCACACAATATTCCAGATGAGGTCTCACCAGTGCCTTGTATAATGGTACTAACACCTCCTTATCTTTACTGGAAATACCTCGTCTGATGCATCCCAAGACCGCATTAGCTTTTTTCACGGCCATATCACATTGGCAGCTCATAGTCATCCTGTGATCAACCAATACTCCGAGGTCCTTCTCCTCCTGTTACTTCCTACTGATGTGTCCCCAATTTATAACCAAAATTCTTGTTATTTAATCCCTAAATTCATGACCTTGCACTTTTCACTATTAAATTTCATCCTATTACTCCAGTTTACAAGGTCATCCAGATCTTCCTGTATGATATCCCAGTCCTTCTCTGTATTAGCAACACCTCCCAGCTTTGTGTGATCCGCAAACTTTATTAGCACATTCCCACTTTTTGTGCCAAGATCAGTAATAAAAAGA